TAGGAATGCAGCAATTAACAAGAACCAGCACTTTGGGCCAGTCACTCTCTCAGCCCAACTCACATCACAGAGTTGTGGGGAAAATAGGAGGAGGGAGGGGTACTGGGATGTGTACTGCCTTGAGTTATTTATAAAAATGAAGGCGAAATAAAATAAATACAACAAAATAATTTTCCACTTTTATTAAGAGAGCTGAATAGATTGGGGGAATGACATTGAGAAGGATGTGTGATCTATTGAAGATTTTGATAGATCACATTCTTGTACTCAGCAGTTGATAAAACCTTTCATGATACTCTCATTAAAAAAATGGTTAAAATATGAGGTAGATGAAAAAACTATTAAATGGATTCAAAACTGGCTAAATGACTACATAATTTTATTAATGACATGAATGGTTTGAGGATACATTTTTATCAGATTTGTACATAAAGACAAGATTCAAAAAGATCTAGGTTGGACAGTGGACTGAAACAGGACAAAGTTTTAAGGGAAAAATATAAAGTCACACTTATGGGGAAAAAATAAAGGGCAAAAGTGTAGGATGAGGGTTTAAGTATCTATGGAAGAATTTGGGTATTTACAAGCCCAAGCAGATCCATACTGAACAGGGTTTGATATGGCAGTAAAACTGCTAAAGAGACACACACTTTGGGGGGACCTATTTGTAAGAATAGAAAGTCCAGATCAAAAGCCGTACCATCCCATCTATTTTGCCTTGGTTTGGTCAGACTTAGAATACTGAGTCCAGTTCTGAGCCCTGTAGTCTAAATAAGACTGAAAAGAAAATTCAGGGCAGATCTTAAGGGGTGGGGGGAATCTTAAACAGCAATAGTTCTCAACTACAGTGGAACAGATTTCCTCAAAAAGTGGTTTATTCCCCTTCATGGGAGATCTTCAAACAGATGGTACAGCCATTTGTCCAAAACACTTGTCCAACCTTGGTAACTTTTAGCGGATCCTTGAGTCAACAGACCACTGGTGTACATGATCTCCTAGATTAGGTACTTTCTAATGCTATGATTTTATGATGAAGTTATTGTAGCTTCAAGATGTAGGTGTTTCATCCGCAAACAGACATGGCTGATCTATTTTTACTCAAAATTAATAGAACATTCCAGCATGGGATAGTAATTCCTCATTAATGGTCAAGGAGCTGCAGTTGCCGCTGATCAGCATTTAAACTGAAAAGAATCGGCCACCGCAACTGAATTAAAGCCATCGCCTCCATAGCTTTTGCGGCGGCGGCTTTTTCCTTTACATACCTGACCGGGGAGCGAGTAAACGACCACGGGCGGCCTGGCGGTAACGTCGTCCCTCCGGATTGCTATCGCTGCTGTGCCCTTTGCGCCAACGCTTAAGTTTGCCGGCTGTACCGGACCGCAACTTGCCCGAACGACCCATATCGCTCGGTTCTCGCCACGGCTCGCCAAAGCAAAAGACCCAAACCACGTGCCGCGTCTACTTTCACTCTATTTTAAGTAATTCCGGTTATCCACTTCCGTACCGAACACCAACTTCCGATTCTTCCATTTTGCAAGCTACTTAAAAAAGCAGAAGGCAAAGCCATGAGCTCCGACCACTTTATTCTTTTCCGACTTGGATTATTATTCCTTCTGGCCCTGCACACCTTTCTAACCGTGGCCTGTACGTTCATGTGAATCAGAGGTCTTCAAACGTGGCAGCTTTAAGACTTGTGGACTTCAACTCCCAGAATTCTCCAGCCAGCATTGTTGCTGAGGAATTCTGGAAGTTGAAGTCCACACATCTTAAAGTAATTTAAGAGATTCTGGGAGATGAAGTCCATCCACACAGATGTAAATAAAACAGGCAGGGGAAGAAGCTTATTTTTTCTCAATTTTTTTGAAATCTTAACACAGCAGAATTCTGAAGTTTTCTGATTGATTCCACATCTACGTTGGCTGTTCGGAATAGAATTTGTCTTAAGAACACAACCAAGGTAGCATTGCTAATATGCAGATGTGAAGTTCTGAGGGATATGCAAGGTTGTAATAATTGTCTGGAAAGGTGATTGAAGGGACGGGGGGGAACCAAAATTTTTCTCCCAAAGGTTTTTTGGGGGAAACTTAAAGGGACACAGTACTGTATTTAAAGTCAGGCAAATAATTTATTTTGATATTCAAGAGAATCCCCAAAACACTTCTCTCTGATGGTAATATTAATAATAACCTTTAATACCATCAAACAACATCATCTGCCTATCCCAGGTCCTTGGGAAGGACTAGATAAGTGAATAAAAATGTCAAATCCAGTCTAAACATCTGGCTGACTAAGCATAATAAAAACAATCACTGAGTTCCATTACTCAGTATGAATATATAAGATGATCATCTTGACTCTAATAGGACTAACCCTATTTTTCTGAGTGGTGGATATAATCATTTTTTAAAAAAACAACAAGTCCTATTTCTGTGCCATTAAATTTAAATGTTTGCCATTGCCTGCAGACAGTGATAATACTAAAAAGTTAATGATGCTGTCACATGAACCTTGATTCCTAGTAACTACATTGAAATATATATGCAGAGGAGGTCATCGGTGCAGTGATCTGAATTATTTATTAATTTGTTCAATTTCTATGGCCACCTACTTTAGTCAGTGACTCTGGGTGGCTTATAATTAAAATATTAAACAACATTTTAAACAATAAAAACAGTATAGCCAACAAAAAAAAAATTTAAAAACATCCAATTCAGCATACACAAAATCAAGATATTTGGCCAGTTAGCAATTTAGCCACTCCTGCATAAGCTGTACAGGTTAGCATTCTGTTGCTAGGTTCAATTCAAGGTGCTGATTGTTACCTATAAATTTCTACATGGCTTGGAACTGGGGTACCTCAGGATTGCCTTTTTTCAAGAGTCTCTACCTGTCCAACTAGGTCGGGTGTTGGCAACGTGCGGCTCCTGAGCTGCATGCGGTTCTTTTGTCCTCCTGCTGTGGCTCCCTGCTGGCTGGCTGGCCCCACCCTTCACCCTCCCCTCCCAGTCACTACTCGCCTGAGAAGGATACGGGTGATGGCAGGGATGAAGACTCGCTCCATATTCCAGAGCGGGAGGGAAGCGTCCCTGTACTTGCCTCTCATCTTGCGGGCGCTTCTTCCGGCGCTTCTTGATGCTGCTCACACCTCGATCGCTTGGGGAGACGTTCTCTCCACCTCGAGACACTAGCCCTGCCTGGCTGCAGCCGATGCTCCGCGTTTTAATGGGCTCCAGGAGAAGGGGATGCCTTCTCCCCCATTGTGAAGTGAGCTTATCTTATATATATCTGGCACTTTTTACAGGTAGTCCTCAATTTACGACCACAATTGGGCCCAAAATATGTTTGCTAAGCTTGACAGTTGTTAAGTGAGTTCTACTTGGCACAATTGGTAAGTGAATTACTGCAGTTAAGTTAGTAATATGATTGTTAAGTGAATCCGGCTTCCCCATTGACTTTGCTTGTTAGAAGGTCACAAAAGGGGATCATATGACCTGGAACACTGCAAAAGTTTTAATCACACGACCATGGGTATGCTGCAGCAGATGAAAGTGTGAAAAATGGTCATAAGTTATATTTTCAATGCCTAGTTTAAATGGTAATTAAACAATCGTAAGTCAAGGGTATCTGTACTATTTACCAACTGCATTCTGCACCAGTTGGAGCTTCAGAATGGTCTTCAGGGCAGTCCCATGTAGAGCATGTTACAGAAGTCCAATCGCTGTGTTGGAAGAAATCTCCTTCTAGGTTCTGCTCCAAGTGGGGAAAAAGACACTGGAAACATGGAGACTGCTTGGAAAGATGGTTTAATGGTGGACAGGATCACATGGCTTGAGTTCCTGAACAGAAAAGTGGGGGGATACAGTAAATCTTCGGGTTTTTATGCTCTCTCTGGCTCTGCATTTCTTGGGGCCCCGAAAAAGTATCCTGATTGGTTGTCAGACTCCCAGGAGCTGGGGGTCTTAGGTAGCCTTGCTGGCTGATGGTCACATGTGCTTCCCAGGTCACATGTGGTGAGTTTCTGTTGCTATTGTGTAGAGGGCTAATCCTATCTTTGTTGGATCTTTGGCAATTCCCACTACGGCTCTGCCTGAAGGAGGTAGATCTTTGTTATGTAGAAATAGACTGGCCCAAGCCTTAATGGCCCATTGACAAAGGGTGGGGGCAGGAAGATGGGAGCTGCTTCAAAACATGCTTATCCCAGGGAAATATAATATTCTGCCTTTTTCATATTTCCTAAAATATTTCACTCTTCCAGGAAAGAGTGGGTGCTAACTTCCTACAGCTGATTATATTTGATTATGCAGAAAGTGATTTGGATAATTTTCCTATTTGAATTTGCAAAAGAGGCTTCTTGATAAGGCTTTAAAGAAGCTTGCGAGGAGGGACAAATTAAAAATAAAAAGAAATCAAGTTTCAGGGTATGAGGATACTACAGACCAAAATTGTTAGACATAAAAGGAAGGAATATAAACTTGGTTTATTTGATCAAAGTTAAAATAGATCTGTTGTCTCTTATAACCTTTGATGGCTATTTTTTTTGTTTTTGCAACATATGGATTTTATGTAGCTGACATTCACCACTCTATAGGATGCTCTGTTGCTCCGATCTTTTATTATTTCTGCCTGTGTGGTTCATTCCGATCCCTTAGGAAATTTTCAGAGCAAAATGAGACAATCGCGGCTCATCAGCTGACGCCACGCCATTTTTTACATACGCTTCACGAGCAACGAATGAGAGGGACGGATGATACGCGGCTATACCTCCTAAACGCATTTTATAGTCTTAACGACAATAATGCAAATAGCTCTTTCTGTGCCTGGCCCACAAGCACGGCATCGAGAGTAAATTTAACGAAGTACCTTCTTCCCCTCCCTTATTAAGTGGGAGTCACCCAAATTAACCCGCAATCTGGGTAGCCTACAGTCTGCGCGAGTCTACAGATTGGAAGATTGCGGGAACGCCTGCGTCCTACAGACAGAGGAGGCTCCACTTTCGGCACATGCGCACTAGCCGGTAAAGAGTCTCCTTGGTTGGGGGAGTGAGAGGAAGCTTGATTTTCTTGCGTCGCCCTCCGGTTCGGTCTCTTCCATTCAGAGCATGGCGGCTGCGTACAGGCTCGTCTTGGTTCGGCACGGGGAGAGCGCCTGGAACCTAGAGAATCGCTTCAGTGGCTGGTACGATGCGGATTTGAGCCCAGCCGGGCAGGAAGAAGCGCGGCGCGGCGGCGAAGCGCTGAAAGGTGAAGATGCGGGAGGAAAGCGGGCAGGATGGAGGGAGCGACGGGCACGTTGATGTTCGGCTGTCCGGGCCGCCTCTGCTCATTTTTCACTCCGAGAAAATTGGGACGGGAGTGGGGGGGGGAAGTAACGGAGGGACTGATTATCCTGAAATGGGTGGGCTGGGGTGGGTGGATAATTGTGGACTGTTTTATAAAGGTCATAAATGCAGCTTGTAATAACGGGGGATGGAGAATTCTTTTGATTTTAACCACCTGATGTGGATTTAAAAAAAAAAAACCCTCTCCGCGGGGTCAGTGTTTGCCTTGGAAGGTAATTCATACTCCCACCCGTGTGTCCCCAGTGTCATTGAATTAGATGGAAATTGGGTGTTTTTTTGCGTAAAATTGGCCTTTGATTGCAAAGATGCTCCCTTATCCAACGCTAAGAGTGGCGAATGGGAGACCGAAGTAGTTTAGGATGGGCGTTTTAGTTAAAATGGTCCCGGGGCGCCCGCAGGTTCTGCTGCGACCGCCGGAACTTGCTCAAGAGGACAAAAGACCGTGATTTTTGCCTGGGCACGTGCGATCAGCCTCGTCCCTCTCGGCGGAGGAACGCGAGAGATGGCCTTCCTGCCGGAGGCGAAAGGGAGGAGTCTCCCACTAGCCGGATCCCGGTCCTTTTCCCCTTTCGGAGTTCAGTCATTCCGGCAAGCCCTTTGCCAAGCACCGAGCCCTTTGGTGATTTTGCTATGGCTACCTGGCATTCAACGCCAGGATAACAGAAGAAACTGTTCTGATTGTGTAAAAAAATGCCCTATTCTGCATTAAAAAAGGGACGTTTTAATTTGAATAGGTGGCTTTTTTTTTTTAAAGAGTTCCTCTCCCTCCCAAGCTGTGCATGTTTGGCAGTCTCCTCGAGTTACGTTATTTTTCCATCTGCCCCTGAGGGCACAATGATACCTTACTTATTTCCAAGGAAAGCATCCAGCAGTGAGACTGTCTAGATGCATTGGCAATTGGGTGATAATTTGTTAAGAAAATGTAGTAGAAGCTGAGTCATTCAGTACTGCAACAGAGAAAGGAGAAGTTTGTGCTCAATGCAGGAAGTCGGGTGGTGAGGGGCAGGAAACATTTAAGACTTGTACCTCTGCAGATTCAAGAAACAGCCTAATCCCGCTCTTTAGTTTACTTACCTTAAAGCCTGAAAGAGAGCCCAAGTCCTCAGAGGATGAAGACAACTTTTTTTTTTAATTTGATTTATATCTTTGCATTATCCACAGCTGTGCAATCTCTCCAAAGTTTCATCTGATTTCTCTCCAGCCAATTATAAAATCTGTAGAAAGTTTTTGTTAATGCATTAAAGATGTGAATATTAAAATTATATTTTTAATTTGTTGATGGACTTGAGATTAGAATGTAAATTGTAAGTTTGATCTTTTCCTAGGAATACTATTTAAAGCAAGATTATTTGAAATCAGTGTTATAGTATCCAAGGAATAAAAAGTTCATTCAACAGTTCTAATATTGTTGATGTGTGCATGTTGTACTGTATAAATAAGTTATTTTTTAAAATTACACCTTTCATTTTAGGAGATTCTGGCAAGTATTATTCGTGCTTGTATGTTTTCATTCATTCTTCTGTGTTGCACAACTGTTGCTTTCTCCACCGTGGCATTAGTTTGCATTATTGCACTATCAAATTTTTGTGCACTTTAGAGCAATAGGAAACAAAGGAGCACAAGATGATTATGAAGATCTATAAATACTGTTAAAACCGCCTCTCTCCCAAGATATTTAGTTATAGCACATTAGCATCCTCTTTTGTTGTGAGATTTTTTATTTTCTTTTATCTTTTGCAAAATTATTTAATTTTCATACAGGGAAATGGATTAACTGTATGTCAGCAATAATTGTGGTAAAGATAAATGAGTTACAGTATTCTTTCTGGGCTCTTCCAGATGCTAAATATGAGTTTGACATCTGCTTCACATCTGTGCAGAAGAGGGCCATCCGGACCCTCTGGACTGTGCTGGATATTCTTGACCAAATGTGGTTACCAGTAGTGAGGACCTGGCGTCTTAATGAAAGGCATTATGGTGGTCTAACAGGCCTTAACAAGGCTGAGACAGCTGCTAAACATGGTGAAGCCCAGGTCAAGATATGGAGGCGTTCCTTTGACATCCCTCCACCTCCAATGGAGCCTGATCACCCTTTCTATAGCACCATTAGCAAGGTAAGATGAAGTACTAATTATTAATCTGATGAAAATGGCTGTTTCTTTGAGGTTATTTTAAAGTAATTGTCATGCTGGGATTAGGATATAATTACTGTGTAATTTCATTTGCTTTTTGCTTTTTTGATTTCTGACTCAAACAATAGTTCCATTGTAGTTCACTTTTATCTTGTTTGACCTCTATTCATACAATATTCTCACTGGCCCACTGTTTTGCGCAGCCATGTGGGATTGCTGTGGTTCAATCAGAACCACATTGCTGTGGTTTTTTTGAGCAGAATTTTAGAATACAGATTGCTTTCATGCAATTAATCATTGACATTGGTCTTTCATGAATGTTTGTATTCTATGGATGGGAACAGTCAAGGCTATTCTTAAACTGGCAGAATTTTCCACCTATGCAATATTTGTTAATGGATTAAGAAATAGCTAGAGCATTGGCCTCACATGCCATTTTAAACTGTAATAGGTTTTTATGGTGGTAATATAATTAATGTAGGATACTCTTTTAAATATTTAAAGACTAGTTCACCAAGAAGCTACATAGTAGAGTTAAACTGTGAATAGAGTTACTAAAGAGGCAACCAATCCAGATAAGTTTAGGTATGAATCCAATAATGAGTGAATGATACTGAAGGCAGTTTTTCAGTGGTTGAAGATGGTAAAAAGTTAAGGCGTTATTTAATGTTTTAAAACTTCATTAGAGACCTTAAAATTATTCATTGCCTAACATATGGCTGGCAATAGCACATATCTAAAAATGTCATTGAGCAGGAATTACAAAAAAATTACAATAGCCTATACAAGCACTTAAGTGCCTAACGTGTCAAGCAAGCAGGTAGCTTCAGGCACAATTTTTCTAAAGCATTTTTTGAAATGAAGTACAGCAGTCTATAGCAAGTCTTGAGAAAACATGAATCAATCACTGTTTATTTTATTTTATTTTATTACTGAATTTGTATACCGCCCTACTCCCGAAGGACTCAGGGCGGTGAACAGCCATAGAATAAAACATATAAATACAAAATTTAAAATAGAAATAAAATAAATAATTTGGCTGAACAAATTTAAAACCCCAATAATTTAAAACCAAATTTAACTGTGATTAAATTACCGCTGCCTTTCCTTCTCTAGGATCGCCGCTATGCTGACCTTACTGAAGATCAGCTACCTACATGTGAGAGTTTGAAAGATACTATTGCCCGGGCACTGCCTTTCTGGAATGAAGAAATTGTTCCTCAGATCAAGGAAGGCAAGCGAGTGCTCATTGCAGCCCATGGTAACAGTCTCCGAGGCATTGTGAAACATCTAGAAGGTGAGTATTCTGTTTGTAACTTGGGAACAAAAACTAATTAAGCCTGACTCAGTCTAAAAAGTTAGTTGAACCAAAGTTCTTTGGTAATTGGTCCTAAATGGGATAATACAATCAAGCTTTTTACCTTGTCATACATTTTCATGTATGTTATTCTTTGCAGGAATGTCTGAGGCAGCAATCATGGAACTCAATCTGCCCACTGGAATACCAATAGTCTATGAGCTGGACAAAAATTTGAAGCCTATCAAGCCAATGCAATTCCTGGGAGATGAGGAGACTGTCCGCAAAGCTATGGAAGCTGTGGCAGCTCAGGGCAAAGTTAAGAAATGAGGGCAGGCAAAGTAATCAGTAGTATAACCCCTTTCCCCTTCCTAGCACATGCCTCAAGGGACAGGGCTGAAGAGCCAGAGATGGTGAAGTTTATGAGAGCCATGGCTTATCCTTCAACATTCACATTTCTCCAGCAGGATCTGGCTAGATATTTTAGAGGTGTGGACCATAGATCAGCAGGGTTACTGACAGAAACAAATTCCAAAGCAATGAAATTCAGTGCTGCTGAAATGAAGAAGAGACCAAGGTTTTCTCAAGGGAACCTTTGCTGTCTTTATGTGAGAACTCCAGTTAGTCAAGTATTGCTTCATTTGGTTTTGCCTTTCAGGACAGTTGCAAGGACCATTTTTTAATTACGTTTTTTTTTTAAATTTTGCATAAGCAACACACCATTTCATTTAAGCTAGATGAAAAGCCAATTCTTATTTCATTGCCTTCTGAATGTAGGAAGGAAGGGTGAGACTAGAAGGACTAGCTCCCACTCTGGAATTTCCACCTGTGATCCAATACCTTTGTGTAGTGCCAGTAAACCCTGATACTGTGTATCATCACGTTGCTTTTCTACCCCATAGTCTGTGTGGTTGTCTCTGCCTTATGGATGGCAGATTTACACTAGAGCTAATTTCACTGTACAATGGCTGAATTTGCCCTAGTCTCAGTAAAATAAAGGAATTATGTGCAATAGCTGCTGTGTCTGTATTACTTGTAAAAGTGGCTTATTAATATAGTATTAAGAAATATGTAACTATTCCAGTGAAGAACATCACCTGGGTTGCCAATTTTAAGTGAAACAAATCTCGTGCATATGTGTGTGAGATACTCAAACCAGGATGCATGATTATACATGTCAGAGGCCACACTCCCAAAAAACAAGACCAGAATAAATATAGGGGGGGGATTCATTTGTGTGGTTCCTCAAATGCCACTCCAAGGCTGTACACAACACTTTGACTGAAAAATATTGTGCATCGCAGGTGATGTCAAAAATAAGAAAATATGTACAGGAAATACAAGGACATGGTTAGGTGGAAGAAAACATTTTTGATGTGGGATTTTATTGAAAAAAAAAATCATGGTCAAGAATATGTGTTTTGTATTCATTCCAGGAAACAATTCCAAAGTTTGAGCACTGGAAGGATGCTGAATTTGAGACTGCATATCTCGCTATCATATATACTGTCAAAAGATGCAGAGTTGCATAATTTTATATGCCAGAGATTGACTGAGTGCCACTGTATAGATTGCCTCAGTAGTTTGGCAGGAAAGTCTACTTCTCCCCAAAATATTAAATTAAATCTAAGACAAAATATAATTTTAACATTTTTTTCATCAAGTTCCTAGTTTTTATCCCATCTTTTGTTGCGACACTGAGACAATTTGAGATTCAAAAGGGCTTTCAATTAAAGTATATTTGAAGAGAAATGGATATTGATTTAGGCTTACTTCCTGGACAGGCCAATGACTTGTAATTTATAAGGGAAAAATGCAGGCAGCCCAACAGTCTTTATGGATTGTTTTCTTGTTGTCCTTTTGCTTTGCTAAAGCAGAGTTTAGCTGCTTCAGTTGAAGGCAGAAATCAGAGTAGGAAGTTTTCTGAATTACAAAACAATAAAATTAGGTTACAAAATTGAAAGTAAAAAGTTGTAATCATGATGTCCTTCACTAAAAAGTGCTCTGCTGCATTCTTGAAGTTGCTTTTTCTTTTTTTTTCTTTCAAGTTCCTCTGGTTCTTCTCCTAGGATTAATCTTTTTTGCTACCAGTCGTATGTTTTGGTGTATGCATTTTTCACTATGTCTGCAGAAATTGAGGCTGAACCCGGGCTACTTTGCGCAGTTCCTTGCCATGTGTACTGGGACACTGCATTTCACACCAGCTGATTGGCACCATCTGTAAACCTGAAATTTAAAAAAAAGTCAATATTTATATAGATATACCCTCTTGGGGAAAAAAGAAAGTCATTTGCTTTGAAAATTACCCTGCAATTTCTGATGTTGTCACAACCTGCCTATCTTTAAATTCAGTACAGGTAGTCCTTGATTCACAGCAATTCATTTAATGACTGTTCAAAGTTACACCAGCACTGAAAAAAATGATTTATGAACATTTTTCACACTTAGGACCATTGCAGCATCCCTATGATCAGATACATGATTTACATTCGGATGCCTGACAACTGACTCAGATTTAAGATGGTTGCAGCATCCTGGAGTCATGTGATCCTCTTGCGCCCTTCTGATGAGCAAAGTCAATGGGGAAACCAAATTCACTTAAACATCTGTTACTAAGTGATTCACTTAACAAATATGGCCAGAAAAGTAGTAAAATGGAGCAAACTCACTTAATAAATTCTCACTTAACATAACTTTTGTGCTCAATTGTGGTCGTAAGTTGAAGACTCTGTAATTCCAGTTCAAAATTACTCTCCCATGATGCATAGCTTTCATCTTAATACTGAAAAACAGCTATTTATGTGGACTGGATATGATTCTAGATTTTCCCATTTAGACATAGTGACATGGCATGTCTGATATTTCCTACAAAATCACATTTAAGCTACAGTTTTTTCAATTTATTCAGAAGATAATTGTTCTTACCTGCTTCACTATGAGCCACCACTACCCCCAGTTCATTTTCTGCTGTGGTCAGCAAATAATTTGATTGTGCATCTCCTAAAGAGATCTAATCCCACAGGTTAAGGGAAAATGTCTGGAAATCTCCACAAAAAATCAGAAAAGCAAGCATAAAGGTAACAGAAAAAGGATACAACTTTGGCCAAAACAATATCTCCTGGGCGGAAACTCTTGTAAACCTCTATCTGTCAAAACATAAAGTAGGAAGAAAGAGAAAGCAAATGTCAAAATGCGAGGACAATTTCAAGGGACAAATGTCTCTGGCAAATAGAGCAATGAAACTTGGATAGAGAAGTTTGAAATAATTATGACATTTAAAAAAAAATTCTGAAGTAAGATACAGGTGGCCCTCGCTTAACCACAATAATTGGGACTGGAATTTCCATTGCTAAGCAAAGTAAAGCGCAATGTCATGTGACCACACTCTTTACCAATGAAATTCCCAGAAGTCTCCAGTTATTGTCATTAAGCAAATTATTGTGGGTGGTTAAGCCAGGACCTCATGTGATCCAGGCTTCCTGCCAGCTTCCCCATTGACTTTGCTTAGGGGAAACCAGCAGGGATGGTTGCAAATCACGATCAATGGTCTGAAATCCAGGCCATTTGCCAAGTGACCAGATCATGACTATGACTTTGAGGACTGGTCATAAAGTATTGCTTGTTCAATGCCACTATAAATTTAGATGGTTGCTGAATGAGTGGTTGTTAACCACCTATATTCTTACCTTAGGAATCAAATCACTACCCCAGATACGCAACTGCATTAATTTTTGTTCCTAGCAAGTTTTAGCCATTGCCTGAAAACTATACCAATACATGTGGAATAAAATGATTGAACATTTCTGTATGTTCATACACATTAATGTAAAAAAAACAAACATGCTTCATTTGATATAACCAAATATAAAACCATCTGACCTTGTCTTTTTCTGTAGCTCGGATATCTTCTCTCCTATAATGGAAGAGAAGATGAAATAATAATTTTGCCATTTTCTTCTGTTACCTCTTCAACTAATCTTACAGAACAAGTGACTTTATCTCCCCTTCCCATGCATCCTACTCCCTCCTTTTCCAACTTTTAGTTATAGTGGAGTGTTTATATTTGTACTGTATATAGGCTTTGTAATATTTTATCTTCTAATATCGTAAACCACCCAGAGTTACCCTTGTGGTAAGGTGAGCACCAATAAATTTAATAAATAAATAAGTAAAAAAAACATAGTTGGTGTAATAATGTAATTTAGAAAGAAGAATTAGCTAATTATATGAAAAGATTATAATCAGCAGAGCTTTAGAACCAAAAATATTTCCAATTCTCATTATCACTCAAACATCAATAATGAGAATGAGATGGAGTATTAACATACTGTAGTTGGCTTATTCTAATGCCACCTTCAAAAGACAAGTTTTCTTCATACCGTATTGTTCCACGGAATGGGGATTTTAATGGTGTAGAACCAACATACAAAATATGCACCTTGGCAAAACGAGAATTAATACTGCAAACCTGAAGAGGAAAAGAGGAAGAGAGAAAGCAACTTTTAGTAACAATTTGTTCTCTCTTATAACTTCAGGATTATAATTGATAATACTTCAGAGTTCTACATAGTGAAAATAACCAAACTAATCTCCAAGCTGGGATATATATATTTCTCTTTCTGCAACATCACAGTGGGCCTGCTAAATATTGAATGCAGGGATTAAACAACTAAAAAAACATGTAAAAAATAAATGCAGACACAACACTGGCAATATATTATGATTATAATTGGGATCTAGGTTTCACATACTTACTTTATTGTAGGGGAAATGATCCCATTCAGAGAGAGATTAGACAAAAACCTAATTTGCTTCATTCATCACACTATTAGCAAATCTAACATGAGCTTCCAAAGATGAATGATCTGCACGGAAAAAATCCTACTCTTCACTTATGAGTAAATATAGCATTCTATCTATTTGTATTACCTTTTATTTTCTTGACACTAATACCTGGATTAAAAATAACAATGAAATTATTAGGTAGATCTGCTGAGGCTACCTTGCAGGTCACTGTGGCTCCCACATCAGGCAGTAGCTGAGATTCCACATCTCTCATCACAGTGATTACCGGAAGCTGTAGGGAGGTGCAAAACCAGCATGATTCAACCATGCATTGGGTATTGAGCTATTACCAAGAGATAGGTTGAAGTCCAACCCTTTCTGGATTGCCAGTATGTCAAGTCATTCAAGGCACGGAATCCTTATCATTATCCCTCCCACTTATCCATAGCACACACTGCTACATGCAGTCCTTGTTTAATGATGTTTCATAAATTATAATGGACTTGGAAAGGGTGCTTTACAACCCATAAAATACTTTTGGCTATTGTAAAATGTTGCATTCTCCCCCCCACCCGTCATGTGACTTCATTTTGTGCACTTGGCAACAGGATCAAATTTACAACTGGTTGCAGTGTCCTGCACTCATGTGATCACAATTTGCAATGTTAAATTTTTCTGGTTTCCAGTATCTTTTGCTGTTTCTGGATTCAGACTTATAACCGCATGATTCATTTAACAAACATGTGATTTGGACTTACAATTACATGATTAGCTTAATGACTGCTGTAATAAAATCAGGTCCACTGACATGGGTGCACGACTTACAACTGAAATCCCAGACACAACTGAGAAGTTAAGAATGCAGAAATACTTGATTCTCACCATGCCATTCTCACTTTTCTTTATGAAACAACCAGCCAAAGAGGCAAAGATGGAACCATGGCGTGTGTAGGTACCATTCCCAGAGGTTCCTTCCTCTAAACTGCAGAGTCGCTCTCCTGTGAAATAGAACACAAGCCAAAACATCTTATTTTCCTACTGCCACATCTTCTCATGTTCTTAATCAGGAGTGTCAAACTTGCAGCCCGTGGGCCACCCGTTTTAGTGAAGGAAAAAGTCGCAATACGTCACGTCACCTGACGATGTGAGTTTGACACTTGTTCTAAATACTCATGTCTGATTACTCTCACTAGAACTTCCTCTGTGACACGTGCATGAGTTTATGTGCA